GAGGGGTACAGCTGAATTGATCAGGACCTCACATTTCCATTTCATCCACTGACTATAAGCACATGAATTATGGGACAATGGGTTTTTTTCATTGGAAGTACAGAACACTTCTGTATTTAGTAGTTCTTTTTATAGCCTAAGTCAGAACTAGTATTTCTACCCTGTCTGCTGCATAAGTATCTCTGGAACATCTGCTATCATCACAGAAACAAATTTTCTCTTTTTGATGTTTTCAATAATCTTCTGTCAATTTCTATTCCACCAAGGCCTTTACATGAAGACATATATAGAAACTGGCTATATCATTAAAAAGTACATAATTCACTCTTTTACTGTTAAGGAAAGAAGCAGCATTGTTTTCATCCAGTGAAACTTGGACATAAATTAGTTTCTTCAGTAACAGCAAAAGCACTAGAAAAGATGATCTCTGCGAGTAAGGAATCAATTTGTCAGACCAGCCAGGCCTTATAGTAGGATACTTCAAAAGAACACTCTAAAAGCGTAACATATATTGTATCATATAGGGTTTTTTTCTGTTTGGTTGCAAATGTGTCCCCAAGTTCACTGTAGCCAAAAAAATCAGATAGCTTCTTCAATAAATATGAAATTAAGACCAGAATTCCTATAAGTAGTCTCAAAGCTTCGTTTTTGATCTTTCATATTTTGAGAGTGTTTTGTTCAGTTTGTGGCCATAATTACAACACATGTAGAGATACCACAGATGTATCTATAGAACACATTATTAAGCCTTCACACATTTTTTTGGGTATTTCACGTACCTCTTGAAAGCAGGTAATTTTCTCAAAGTTCACACCAGTATCCATGAGAGCAAAGTCTGATCCTGTCTGAATCATTACACTATGTATTTTACAAAACACTTTTTAAAATACACAGCTAGTTTTTAACTGAAGATGGATTTAGGAGCCTCTTATTTAAAATAGAATAGGAGGCTTACAAAACCAGAGATATCACTTGGAAAATTCCATGGTTGTTGCAAATCTGAGTCATGGTTTTTTGGTTATGGATAAAACCAATTTAGAATGATATGGCTCATGCTTTAGAAATTTTGTTTTTGCGCTCAACAGATGGACCATATGGAAAAATGTGAACTTGCTACTGAGGCAGAAATATGAAGAGCAAGTACCATATTTCAAGCATTCTGTTTCCACAGGCATGTTCTGGGGGAAGATTTATTTTCTCAGAACAATGAAGGCAATGTGTACTGCTTAGATACTTACTTTAATTAACACTGGAATACTAGAATTAAAAGTAGACATCTGTATTTTAAATGAAATAAGAAGAGAACGATGTTTTGTCTCTTCAGTTTCCCAGTACACCCAATTTCAAGTACTCACACTTTTATTTCCTATGTGGCAGTACTGAGTCCTGTTTTGCTACACAAAACATGAAGTTTCCATTCTAGCAAGTATTAGAGGGCATAGCAAAAGTCCCCGCAAAATACTGGTGGCGCTGACCATCCTCAGGATAAGAATCCTTCCATTGCCTGACTGTAAATGAGATTCACCCTCTCTGATTTTACAGCTCTGATGCTTTTTCCAAATAGGTCTTGGGCCACACAGAGAGAGGCACATCTGCCAAATTTGGTAATTGCCTTTTCTTTCAATTCCAGCCCCATAATTAAAGGTTATTTCTTGTCTACAAGAGGGGAAAAAAATCCCCACTTCATTCAAGTGCAACTGAGACATTTAATTTAAAAATTAGCCAATCTATAACATTGAAGAAAAAACAGTCAGATCACTGAATTTAAGAAAAAAAAAAAAATCCCCACAACAGTGAAAATGGGATACCTCTGAAACTGTCAAGACAATGCTAATTCTCAGCAAGTCTTCTAGGCGCTCATCTCTGCTGCCTCAGAGTCTTCTGATTTGTGTTTGGACAGGAAGTTGAAACAAGCAGGTAGGTTCTTGTACATGCCATGGAGAGTCATAGCAAACTGCTGATTTGTACAGCTGGCTTATAACGATCATGTAAATTTAACATAGATCTTTCTCTCACTCTCTCTCAAAAACGAATCCACTCTTTACTAACCACTCTCTCTTGCCAGTCTGAAAACCAGCAATATCCTCACAAAAGTGCCCCCTTTCCACTCAGTCTTACGAGGTCCCAGGGACATTTCCTGAGGTTTAAATGTTTAGTTCCCTCTCAAGCCAGGCACATGCCGTAACTTACTATAACCAGCTCAGCTCCAGAGGTAAATGCATCATAATGCGCTACCAGGCAGGAGGTGAACTCTTGTGCTGTAGCTCTTCATGGATGCTCTCCAGCATCATGGACTATTGCAATAGCCTGATACAGCACTGGCCAGAACTGGAGAAAGGTATACAAAGACACCCTTAAAATTAAACTCATAAGGCTTTCTGAATCAAGATTCTCACACAAAATAGTAATCTCCACCAACTACCATGACATTCATTATTTTTTATGCAATTAAACACAAGAATTCCATTTGTAAATCCAATCTCATCAGAAAGTGTCCAGTTACTAGAGCAGCCCATAAAAATAACCAGTTTGTCCTGTATAAGCAGTACTTATCCAGTGCAGTTATCCACACACATTTTTTTGCTATTTACAGTGTATTTAGTTTACAGCATCTGCTTCATTATTTCTGACATAAGGCTCAAGTTGTGTTACTTCATGCCATGTAAACATCAATAGGGCCTGCTGTGCCATTATCACATGGGAAGATCTCCTGTTTAGCCTCTGTTAGGCCTCGTACACAGAACACAGAATACATTCTTGGTAGGTTATTTTCACATCCACATACTTAAAAATGAAGAATTATCTAATGCCACAAGCACAGGAGAAGAAATTGTTCAGGTGCTCCTTTAAAGAAAAAGCATTTCTGGAACCTGGTGGCTCCACCAAAGCAAGAAAATAAGATTTCTTACCTGCATAGGTATCTTGGGGGATTTGGGAGGTCTTTAACCATGTAACATTCTCCCCCATTTACACAGAAGGCTTTCTGCTTTATGTCACATTTCGTGAGATGACTTGTCCCAGTTGTAGATGTGGAAGTGGCTGGAAAAGACAAGCGTGAAAATACGTATCAGAATGGCTTAGGTATTTCTTCCTGAGTGGTTAAGTGTACTTGTATGTGAGGGAAGAAGTAAGGCCAGGGAGGATCTGGCAAGTCCTCTGAGCTCTTTATATGATGCTACCACAAGCACTAATTACCTGACCCTGTGTTTCATTGATCAACAGATGGAATACAATTTAAATGCATATCTCAGAGGTATGCTACCCCACACCCAGCCTGGGAGGAAGGGAAGATTTCACCAGCCTTGTCAGACAAGTGACCTTAAATTTCTCTAACACTTGTATATTTCATTTAAAATGTTTAATTTATGTGCAGTTACTTAAATTGCATTAATTGTATTCAAGTGACTGTGGGGTGTGAGCATCATTACAGACAGCTAATATAGTGCTCAATAATGTGAGACCCCGGATGAAGTTTCTTCCTGGCATTACATTGTAGTAGGTGTTTTTCAGTGGGGCTTAACCGGAGGCCTTGTGCTGTTTCAAAACCTTGGGACTGAACGAGAGCTGTGGCTGCTCTGGTTTGACTCTGTAGGGAAGGAAATGACGGGGGGCTGGAGACATCATCTTTTCCTGTGCATACACAGTTGCCACCCTTGCATCCACAGAAGTCTTTCACCTGGAGGCCAGCATAGCATCTTCTGCAGACAGGGTCATCTGCACGAAGGACTACCAGTTTTGGTCACCAATGCTGCCAGACCCCATTTGGTATCTAACCTGCTATTAAATGGAAGTACCACTATGCGTGTAGTACTTCTTAGCTTACTTCCTGCTGCATTTATGGAATACTTGAAGAAGGCAAGAGAGGGGTTTAGTTAGCAACCTTTAAGGAGACTGTCAGGGTAGGATGAGAATCACATCGTTAGGATTTGCCCATGCAATGTCTATCAAGGAAATTATAGTGCCCTGACCAAAGGCAGCAGTACTGTAGGAGAGACAGTGCTGAAAAGGTCCCAACCACAGTCATTGCTGGTAATGACTGGTGTAAGGTTTAGAGTGCCCTAAACTAGCCAACAGCAACAGGGATGATGGGGAGGCCAGACTACATCCCCAGCTCCTCAATCCTCCTCTGTGCCCACAAAACTGCCCCCATGAGCTGAGTTAAACCTATGTCAGGGAGGTACCTGCTAGGCTGCAGCTGCAGACCCAATCTGCAATCTCTGGTGGTTCCCTAGTTTGGATAAGCTTTGCTCTAAATTCTGTCAAAATGGGGTAGGCACGTTTGAGGCCTGGACACCAGTCAGTACCCAGCTCAGAAACCATGACACTGCTGGGCTGTGTGACCTCTGGCAAGTCTGTCAAGTAATTAATTTCACCTGATTTTAGGTGTCTAAAAGTCAATTGTTTAGTTGTAAAGGGCTCTCTACTGCTCACAGAAAGCAGATCAACTTATGCCCCCTGTGGGTGGGATAAACAGCCTCTCTGACGGTGTGGTACCCTGTACTGACTGCAGAGCAAGCTTAAACTCTTGTGAATACACCCCTGATTTTTAAATAGCTGAAACTAACTGAAGTGACTACCTGTCATCCATAAAACATTGGAGAGATTCCTGCAAGATTTTTGCTTAGCCATCTCCAGACATATGGAAGTAAGAAATTTTGGTTTGCTGATCAAATCCCAGTATATTTGTTTCTGAAAGACAGCTTCTAACCTGAGGAGGAACAATGTTTTCATCTACTGACTGATTCCACCGGAGCTGACTAGAAAGCTGCAAGCACCTGCACAAAGGTGTATAATAATCAGAGCTTTTTCTAACATGAAGACACCCAAGGGGTATGTTTATAGCAGGGGATGCATGATGTTCTACCATTTGCTGCACACATTGAGTCCAAAGAAAACATGCCTTTAGCAGATCACCTATCAGCAAATGCCACTTACACATTTTGACTTCTTGCTTCTGAGAATGAAGAAGTAGTCCCTGTCACATTTTCCCCATCATCTTCCAAGTAAAATTGCTTTCTTAACATTCAGCATTTGGGAGAATGGGCCACCTTGGCTGGAGTATGGTATGAGACATAAGACAGTGACTTAGATATTTAAGGCCCCCCCGCTGATTCTATCAAAATCTCATCTGCCTGAACATTTAGCATCTCTCATATCCCTTCCTTCCTTTGCCATTAATCAACAGCATGCCAGCTTCTTTCTTTTTCTTCCATGATGCCTTGCTTGCATGGGGTGCCCTCCTCCAATGCGCCGGGAAAAGCCCTCCTGTGATCCCTTCCAAAACTCAAGTTCCTGTTTCTTATTGTTGCACCCACCCACTGTGTCATATATCCCCAGATCCTGATCGTGACTGGGGCCTCTAAGTGCTAATGAAATGCAGACATGGAGTACTAATTCCTCGTAATAACACATTCCTTTCTCCTGACCCCTCAAAGCATGATTTATAACCTCTCAGACCACGATAAATTTATGCCTTGTCTAGAGGCAGGAAAAGGGGTCATGTTTTAAGAGTAGTCTGACACTCTTACAGCTAGCACCGGTTCAAACAGGACTTTGCACCCAATGTTGACAAAAGGCTGGCCAACAGATTGCCATCAGCTCAGCGGTGAAGGGTCATCCATGCTTGATGTCAGTGGATTGACCACCATCCTTGACATGAATCTTAGGATGGGGAGGTTTGCCTTTTGGAAGAGCCTCTCCTTCTTCACTGGCTGGAAAGGAGACTGGACTATTAGCCCAAAGGGTTTGCCTGACATGACAGGCTACAACATACCAAGACCTAAGATGTGACAAATGCTGGTGAGTGAATCCCATCTATGCAGTAATGCACATTTTGAAGCCTTTGTGAGTCTTAACAGGTAAACTCACTATTAAGCTTATCCCTGCTGATAGCCTATCCAGCACTGTATCCCTTTACGTTATTAAGACTTCATCCTGCAAGTCAGACAAGCACTCTGAGGATGTCCTTGAGCTCAGAAAGCTAATGCATTAATTTAGGAGGGTAAAAATGCAGTATTGTCTGCAGTGTTTCTGACAAAAAAACCCCATTTTACTGCCCTGCTGGCTAATGGAATGTTTTAAATAGAATTATGAAGGTAGACATAGTAGCAAGTGAGCTTCTAGCTACCTATAATTGTTTTCATCATGTTGCTTACCACTTTTTCTTTTAAGCAGCAACTCAATCAAAAGCAGATCACCGTGGAGTTTCAAAGTAACAGCTATTTCCCAGCAGATGTGAGTGAGATTTGGATAGCAGCAATTGCTCTGAACTGATTACTAGAGATGGCAATAATCTGCAGCTCTCAGTGAAATCTCATGATATAAGGGCTTTACAAATATTTGTGAGGAGTGCCTCTACCCACAATTTTGGCATCACATGTTCAAAGCTGTTGTATAAATTTTGCGCTAGAATTTTTTCTGCATTACTGATGCATTGGCACCATAGTCCCAATATGCCTGAACTTTGTAATTCCATGGGGTAAGGGCAGGAAAAAGTCTCCAATGAGACTCCAATCTGGTATTAGTCTTTCTTTGCAAAGAAAGGATGCACAGTTTTTATGGCATATGGCCAGTATTCAGTGTATGCACTGTAATTCTACTTTGCAAATTAAAAATAAGAAATACTAACTACGATTTTGGGTTTCACTTAAAGCCACATTATGGAAGAAATGTGGTGTTTGAGAGCAGGTGTTCATCAGAGCCCATTTTATACAGCCCATAACTAGCCCCAAAACACTGCCTTTCCATTTATCTCTAGCAGACATGGACTTGGAGGATGTATAGTAGGAATGACCAGCAGTGCTGAGATAAAGCACAGCTGTAGACCACGTATCTGTGTGTTGTTCTGTATTCACCTTAGTCAAAATTTGTACCTCCTTTCTTTTCTGTAATGTTTTCTTCAGCTATACAAGAACAAAATAGAAAAGCTGGTTTATTCTGAGTCCTATACCAAACTCCTAGCTTACTAAAAGAACTAATTTACATGCTGTAATGAAATATGAAAATATTATGCATGAGAGAACATCTGAAAACAGTGCATACTCTATCTTCTCATCTTTCCCCCCTCCTCCCTCAATGCAGAAACACCACACTTTCAAAAGCAAATGTAGGCAGTATGAACAAAGTCTCCACTAAAGCAAATATTCACATGGCACTGAAAAACAATGAGATCTGCTCCCATCTACATGAACTGCCCAAAGCCATTAACAAGGAGAGAAATAGAAGCTATGCATCTGTCAAAAAACACTTGCTGAAACAGGAATTTACTGCTGTAAAACTACCTTAGTTTTACATATCAAGCAGACACAACTTCATGTAATTCTGAGCTTATCTGGGGAATCTCTGGCCCTTTTTTGTCCTGAGTCAGAAAAATGCATTCTCTTTCTCTCTCTTGGTTTCCAAAAAACCCTGTAAAATTCAGTGGCTATAGCAATGGGACTACCAGGCCCTGCACAGGTGAGGCAGTCTGCTAAGAGGAGCCCTACAGATATCTGAGTAGAGACTTAGAGGGACGACTTTGCAACCTGAACAGAACAGTATCTATGACTTTCTGAATTTTCTGCAAAGATGGTGTAAAATCAGAGGACACGCTCAAAGTCATGCAAGGAGGCTGGCGAGATGCTTATGACTCAGTGGAGACAAGGTCAAGTGGCAGGTGCAGCACAAAGGAAGGTTTGCCATTCTCACTGGAAGGCCAGTTACGGATGTAAATATGTCACCTCATTGGATTGCAGGTGGAGACCTTTCCAGTCTCCTTTTGTGAACAGAAAGAGTAAATTACTGGGGAGGAACAAAACAAATACTTCTGCTTATCACTGTTTTCTGAGACTAAGGCTTGAGCAAAGCCTACTTGAAGCTCAAAGCAATGGACCTGAGGGAAGGACAGAGGGAGAGAAGGAAGGGGAGAGAGAGCATCACAAAGGCAAGCTTTGGAGTGATGAAGTGGTGGTGTGTGCCACCAGAAGAAAGTCAGCTTTACTAACCTACATTCCCTCACTTGAAGCTCACTCACTCCTTTAAAAGCACAATCTAATTCCCTC